AGCTAGGATTACAGGTGTGAGCCACCAGTGTCCAGCTTGTCTTCTTTTATACCCAGCTTTGCCACCTTTCTTATGTCAGCTTCTTTTGGTCTCTCTCCATTTTTCTTTCTGTTAGCTTCTCTCAACTGTTCTTTTTATTCATCTTGTAGTCACCAGGTCCCTGGGACCCAAGAACTGGGGTAAGCACTGTCCTGGCACGGAGGGAGTGGGGCTTAGGTAATGCCACACATCTGCTCACCCCAGCCAGCATCCTCACCATGCCACCAAACTGACCCTCTAAGCTGTTCCTAATTTCCTGGACTTTGCCAAAAATTTAATCAGATCTACATGTTTGAGCCACTCAGTCCCCTCCTTAGACCATTGCCCCCCCCCCACATGAGCACTGTGGAACTGGGGGTGCTATCACCTATCTGGGTGAGGGTCCTGCTTGCTGTATTTTGTCACAGCCTACATTGCTCAGCACACTCTTTGGCAAGGACTGCCTTTCAGTAGAGGGATGCCCCCTGCTCAGAGAGGACAGAAGCTGCTGGTGGTGGGCAGGGCCAAGCGGCCTTGAGGGGTGTGGTGATTGGTGAAGAGGATTTGCATCCCTTCTCCAACCTCACTAGGCAAAGTTTCTGGAGGCAGCTGCACAGGATAGCAAGGTGAAAGGAGGCAAGCGCTCCTCTGCTGAGACTTGACAGGGAAACTGTCCCTTCCTCACCCTCAGCCTCGCCCAGGTTCTGGATCCACCTCCCAGACACATCTGGAGCTACAAAGCTCAAACCCATATTCATTCGTCTATGGCACTTATACCAACGGGTGCAGCATGCAGGCAGGAAGTGTGACATGGCTTTGATGCAGAGCCGGTGCTGTTAGTACCAGCTTCTTTGGAGCCAGGCAGGCTTGGGGCATCGTGGGACCAAAGATGGGTGAGAGGCCACAAACAAGTGACCCTGTGATTGTGCAGATGCAGAGCTCCTATTGGCTGGGTTCTCCCTCCTGTCACAAAGTCTCCACTGTCACAAAGTCTCCTGTAATGTATCCATCACCATTGCCTCAGGCAAAGCACCTTAGCAGGCGGAAACACTCCCAAAGGGGACCCTGGTCACTTCAGAGGCACCAGCCAGTGTGTTGGAATCTGGGAAGGACAGAGGCTTCCTGCTCATCTGCCTCTCCCGCCTCAGACGAACGTTGAGCCTTTGGTTGACTTCAGTATCCCAGGCGGCTGGGGCCTGGGTGGAGCTGCTGACAGTCAGCTAGGAAAGGCTGGGCACTGGCTGCGCTTGGGGAAGGACCTGCTTTCTTGAAGACCTTGAGGCCAGTATTAGAGGCAATTTGTTGCCATAAGTCCTGAAAGGAATTAACCAGAGCACTGTAAAGCCAGGTCCCACTATGTTTCTATTAAAGTCCCTATGGGTCACAGCCTGACTCTGCCACTTGGAGCTCTGGTTTCTGGAGAAGGGAGGAGAGTCGTCTCAGAGCACCCACCCTTGCTCTAAGAGGCTAGGAACCAGCACGGGACGGGGGAGGGGGGACAGCTGGTCCTGCACACCTTGTTTTGGGGATCTGTGTGCTGTGAACACACCAGAGAGGCACACCAGGGTGTGCGGATCTTCCAGAGCTGGGACCCCGGCTGTCTGCGCTGAGCGGAATTCTCAGCGGCAGGCGGGCGGCAGGCAGTGTCTTTACAATGGACGGGAAGCTAGGAACTGGCCGGTGGGCGTGGGGGGCCTGTCGGAGGCTCCCCTGGGGGAGCCACGTGTGCCCAGGGGAGGCGGAGCTGGGCAGATAACTGAGCAGCCAAGAGGCCGCCTCCCGCACACTGGGGAGAAATCTTCAGAAATTTGGCTTGTTCCACGTCCAGCTCTGAAGATGCCAGGCCAAAGGGTGAGTGAGTTGGGGCACATCGGACTCCAGGGGGCAATGCTGGGGTGCAGCCCAGCATCGACGCGCGGGCTTCTGGGAGCCAAGCCTGTTGGGTTTGCTCAGTCCCACCCTACCCCTCCAACCTCCCATTCTCATCCACGCTTCTGGTCCCCACATCTTACCGCCAGTTTCAAAGCCGAGCCTGGCGTTGCAGGCCTGTAAAAACGATTTTTAAAAATCGAGAACGCCCTCCCCTTCCCAGTCCCCTCGCGTGGCGAAATGCGGGTCCCCTCACCACATGGCGCGTGGAGGAGCAGAGCGCGCATCTCAGGTCCCAACTGCGCAGGGCGCCCTAAGGAGTCCGGTCCGGGGCGGCTGCTCGCGACCCCGCACCGGGACGCGCTCTCCGAGTGCGCACCGGGCCGGCTCCCAGCCAGGTCTCCTACCTCCCGGCAATGGAGGCGCGGCCGGCAGGGGGAGCGAGGCGGAAGGGAGACGCAGCCGGTCCAGGTGAGGGAGGAATACTTCCCGCGGGCGAGGCGCTGCGTTCGTGCGGGTGCGGAACAGGCAAGTGCCGGGCCATTAAGGCCCCCGGATAGTGCGCTCCCTCGGGGCCTACGGGAGGGCACGGATTATGGGGCGGCGACGGACCGAGAGGAGCTCGGGTGAGTAGCCGGGAGGCTGCGGAGGCCGGCGAAGCTCGGGTTCAGAAGACGGAGAGGAAAAGTCCCAGGAGCCCTGCCCAAGGGGCGATGAAGAAAGCGGGGCTGGAGGCTCCCTCCCTCCGCCTCGCGCTTCCAGGACTTCGGGAAGCCTTTGGGTCCCTGTAGCCAATGACTTCGAAAAGGTCCCAGCGTTGAACTTCGGGGCTGGGGCTTTCGCGGTCCAGCGGGTGAGTACCCGCAGCGGGTATCCAGGGTTGGCTGCCGGCAGAGGGGCTGCGTGGGGTCCCTCACCGTTCCCCAGAGCTCCGCTGTTTGCTAGGGTTTCCACCCTAGAAAAGCCCGTTGGCTTTTCTGTGGCGCGTTTGCCTACCCAGCTCTTAATGGCGTGAAAGGGTTAATGGGGGCTGAAAGAAATGCTCTCTTAACTACTTGAATCAGGAGCTCTGGGGACCTTGGGACCCGGCCCTAAGGGGCAGACTCTGTGTCCTCAGGATGCCTGGGGGGTTTTCACTTTCACTTCTTGCTTCTCGGGGTTGCCCTTGTGTACGGTCTCAAACCTGGCTTGTACACACCTATAGGTGTGTATAAGGTAAAACCTCGGGCACCCCACATAGTTGGGCACTATGAAAAACTTAGATGAGCACCCACATTAGCTCTGATTTCCATGTTCCCATCTACCCACAGCCTGCACTGTCCATGGCTCCTCTGGTGCTGGGCATCACTACCATGACCTGCCCCACCCGTGATCCTTGCCACCTGTAGAAAACCTCAGCTCCCTTCCATCAGGGGTGGGCCTCCCGGGGTCCTGAAGGCAGTGGGCTGGCCCTGCTCAGGAAAGAGGGAAGAGGGACCTGGAGCCCAGCTGCCCACCCCCTGCATTCCTTATTCTTTACATTGTCTTCCCAGGTCCCCTCAGTGAAAGACACAGATCACTGTCATCGTTAGCTCCAAATGGCCCCTCAGAGACCAAGGAATGCCCTGGTGACAGTTGCCCTTTCCTTACAGGGTCCATAAGGAATCCAGCTGCAGGCAGGGGACAAGCCAAGGGCCTCCTCACCTAGGCACAGTTACACACACCACACCCAGCACCCAGCACCATCTGTGTTCTGACCCAATACACACTATACTCCTGGCTATATGCTCCTTCTTGGACCAAAGTCCAGAACCAATCCCTTCACACTAGAGTCCATTGCCTTGGTCTCCAGTTTCTGGGCCTTCCCAGCTTCCGGCTAGTATTCTGTACAGTCCAGAATAAGAGGCCTGAGATTGTAAAAGCCCAGGGAGAGGCTGCCTGCCTCCCACTCCCATCCCCAACAAGCAGAGCATGAACCTGCAAGGTCATAGGCAGAAAGGCCTTGGAAACCTGGCAGCCAGGGTCTTAGAACAGGATCAGGGAGGATTCTGGGAAGCTGGGAGGCTGCAGGCTTCATACCTAACTGGAGAGACCCTGGACAGAGAGGCCATGGACACACTGAACTAGCCAAAGGAGGACCCAGAGATAGGAGACGAGACACAGACCAAATCAAGAATTGGCATGGAGATGTATGCCTGAGCCTGGAGGCGAGAGGCTGAGGAGCTGGTCCTGAACCCCAGTAGCAAGGCCTTCCCCGCTGCTCAGGCTGGCTGGAAGGTGGCAAGGGGCAGCACCCGACCATGACCATCCGGCCTGAATTTCTCCAACGTGTCCTCAGCTCCCTCGGCCGGCCAGGCCCCGCCCCCGGCCCTCCCGGTGCGCAGGGAGGTCGGAGGAGCGGGCACTGCCCACCCTCCGGATGTAAAAGCGTCCTGGCCAAAGGCAGGCAGTACGGCGGGTGCGCATGACGCTGGGGCTCCCAGGCTGCGCGGCCTGGGCGTCGTCCCCTCCCCCTCAGGTCTCCAGCCAGGACAGCAAACTGTCCTGAGGGGGTCTGTGAGATTATTTACTGGGCTAGGGCCTGTCCCGAAGCTCCGAGGAACGGAGGACTCCGAAGCCCTGGGGCATTTGTCCGAGGCCAGCGCGGGAGCTCTCTCACCCAGGTGCAGGGGCAGCCGGGGAGGAGAAGGAGGCAGTAGGGACCAAGGGCAGGCGCAGAGCTGGTCTCGGAGCCCTGGGTGCTTCATCAGTGTTCTGCCACCTTTGGCTGGGGCTGGGTGCTCTCCACATGGCGGCCTGACCTCTAGGGCAGTAAAAGCTGACCGTGGCTTCGCTGAACAGAGAGAAGTTCGATCTCCGCTGGAGCAGCGGGATGTCCAAGGGGCGTTGGTCACCGAGGGCTCTGAGACCAGAGGCGAGGGGCAAAGAGCTTGGAAAGCAAGAGGGCCCTGAACCCGTTCGGGCTCCTAGGCCGATATTGGCTCCAAATGGGGGGCCCATGACGCCATAATCCCTTGGGCCTGGGGCCGGCGGCTGTGAGTGGCACCATAGGCTCCCGCCCCCGGGCTGGGCTGGGCGCGGTGCGGCTGGGCGCACGCAGTCGGAGGCGGCGCCGGCCAGGCCGCTGGGCGCCTATGGACGCGCGGAGCCCGCTGTCTCCCCGGGCCAGCGCGTTCAGCATCGCCTCTCTCGTTGCAGCCGAGGCCTCGGAGGGCGCCGCCCACCGGGCCCCCGGCCCCAGCGATCGGGCGAAACTTCGCCTGCAACCAGGATCCCCGGCCGGGATGCACTTCAGCACAGTCACCAGGGACATGGAAGGTGAGCTTCTTGGCCGCGTCTGCAGCGGCCGCCCGCCAGCCCCCTGCCTCGCTCGGGTCCCCTGAGGTCTTGCCCCTAAAAAGTAGAGGGTGCTCCTGGAGGAGTAGGCTCTAGCGTTAAGGCTGGGACTCTGGCGCCAAGAGGAGGGGTGGGCATCCCCCCTCCCCGAAGCCTATGCACACAGTAGCCTGGGGCCCCAGCCTCGGGGACTGGCACGCAGCTAGGCTAGTTGGAGGCCTGTAGGAGGGGATTGGAAGCGGGAAGAAGAGGGACTGTAAGCTTGGAGAGGCGAGACGAGGCAGAGACGGTAAAGAGACTGCAAGAGGGTCAGGGAACACAGAAAAAGGAGAAAAAAAACCACAAACAAAACAACAGAAACGATGAAGGCAGCCAAGAGGAAAAGGCATTGAGAAAAGGAGAGAAAGCACGATAAGGACGTAGGAGAGGAAAAGACAGGAGAAAAAAAAAGAAATAAAGGCAAGAACGAAAAAGAAGAGAGAACGTGAAGAAAACATGTGAACACAGACAATAAACTCATTAAAAATAAAGAACAAGAGAAAGACTCCAGGTTTTATTTTTTTAAAGAAAGGAAAACATGAGTAACAGGACATATAGAAATGGGGGGAGGAGGTAGATGGAAAAGACAAAGAGTGAAGAAAAGCCTAAAGTGGAAGGACATTGTAAAAAAAAATGGAAAGTAAAACAAATAAGAAGCTAGAGATATTGGGAAAGGCAAAGATGGATAGGAGGAACAGTTTTTAAGTGGGGAAGACAAAGGTAAAGAAATAAATTGGGAAAAGAAAACTCCAACGCGGGAGGGCGGCAGAGCAGGGGCCGCGGACGGGCCCGCCGCTCCGGGGAGCCGGTCCGGGCGGTCGGGGGGCCCGGGCCCAGCGAGCCGCGGCGGGCGGGCTGGGGGCCGGGAAGGGGGGGAAAGGAGGGGGAGGGGCGAGGGACGGGGGAGGGGAGCGAAGCCATTGTCTCGGCGCGGGAGGGGGGGGCGCGGGGCGGGGCGGGGCGGGGCGCCTCCTCGGGGCCGGCCCGCGGTGTGGGGCGGCGCGGCTCGGGGCGCGTGCTGCGCAGCGCCCGCCACTCGGCCCGCGGCGCGGGACAGCGCTCACCTCGGCGGCAGCGGGGGCGGCGGCAGCGGCGGGGGCCCTCGGGTCATGATCTCCGCCGTGTCCAGTCCGTGGCTCACGCAGCTTTCGCACTTCTGCGACGTTGCAGCCTTCACGGCCAGCAGCCTGAGCAGCCTGGGGGCCGCGGGGGGCTTCCCGGGCGCCGCGTCGCCGGGCACCGACCCGTTCGGCCCGCGCGAGCCCCAGCCGCCACGCTACGATCCGTGCGCCGCCGCCGCCACCACCCCCGGCGCTCCGGGCCCGCCGCCGCACGCCTATCCGTTCGCGCCGGCCGCGGGGGCCGCCACCAGCTCCGCCGCCGAGCCCGAGGGCCCCGGGGTCAGCTGTGCGGCCGCCGCCAAGGCGCCGGTGAAGAAGAACGCGAAGGTGGCCAGCGTGAGCGTGCAGCTGGAGATGAAGGCGCTGTGGGACGAGTTCAATCAGCTGGGCACCGAGATGATCGTCACCAAGGCCGGCAGGTCAGGGCGCCCCTCCCCGCGCGCCGCGACCCTCCCCACGTGCTGCCACGCTCTGGCTGCGCGCCGAGGACCGATGCGCTCGAGGGGGGCCGAGAAGCCGGGTGGGGGGGTGGGGGGCGCGGCCCAAACACCTGCGGGCTCCTCCGGGCCTTGCCGCCTTCTTCACTCTTCGCTCTCTGCGGTCCCGGCTCCGGCGACAGCCGCCCGTACGGGCGCGCAGGAGGCAGGAGGCGGAAAGAGGTCTCGACATTCGCAGCCCCCCCAGGACGCTCCGGGGCGGGGGGAGCAGCGGCTGGAGGAGGGGGATCCTCCACCGAGGGGCCTGGCCGGCCAGATGGTTCCCAGTGGGTTCTACCTCAAAGGAAATTTCAGTTTGGGTTCCTGAGTTGAGTCTATGACGGCAAGATAAAGAGTAGAAAGCAAGCAATTTGCCTGGATGATTTTTAAGAGAATGAAGACCCTCTAAAAAAGAGTGCGCTCAATTCGGTGGAAATTTCGCCACCCCCGTTTCCTCAGGTGGTTGTGGGCCCAGCTCTGCACAAGCCGGGCGTCTGCCTTCCAATCGGCCTGTATTTGTTTTAAGGGCTAAGAGAGAAGGGGAACAAGTTTTGCAGATGCTCCCGATTGACCAGAAGACAAAGGCGGGTGCTGGGCTGTGTCTAATGTACACACCAGCTCGGTGTCCGCGCAGCCAAGGGGATCTATCTCAGAGTCTGTTTGCAAAACCTTCTGGTGGTTTCTGTTTCCCTGCTGCGCAGTCTTCCTGGGGGAACTTGAGGCCTGTCCTGCGATCCTGCTGTGTGGGTTTTCTCCAGGCTTCTTTTGCTGGTCGTGGGTACATGGACCTCCTCAACAGCGGCAGGACCCGTGGGGTCCAACCCAGCCCAACCTGGATCCTGTCTGCAGCCAGCTTTACTCTAGGGGCCGGTATTCGGCAACACCCCGGCAGCTCGCAGAGGCTGGGTCGGGGTGGCAGGACGCCTGTCAGAGTCCTAGTATGTGTTTTGTCTACTGTCTGCAGCAAGTTGCTTTTGAGGGGAGGCAGCGGGAGAGGAAAAGGAGGCCAAGGCTTGTGTTGTTCCCCAGGCCCAGGGACTGCTTCGGTAGCACTGCCAGTGAGGGCTGGCCTATTGTCAGAATGTCCTTTCTAGATCCCTGGTGGGTTACGGAGTTGGGGTCTGGAGGAGATTCGATATAAGCCAAGTTCTGCCTGGGAGGCTGCATCTTGGGGTTCTGCGTCCTGAGGGAAGCAGGAATTTGCCTGTGTCCTGCAGAAGGTGGGGGACACTCCAACATTGGGCTAGGCCTGAAGAGTTGGGGATCTGAAGTGTCAGCCATGCCTCGCGGCAGACAGTGGGGAACAGCCGCAGACCCCACAGAAAGGGCAATGGAGATTCTTGCGAATGTACCCGTACTCAGTTTCGCTTTGTTGGAGCCGGGAGCTGCTTAGATCAAGCTAGGGAGGTTCTGTGGCGGGAGGAGAAGCTGGTGTTAGGGGAACCTGTGTTTTAGGGACCCTGATTCCAAGGCTAAGTTCAGGAAGCTAAGGAAGCCACACACAGGGAAAAGCTGTGCATATACGGGCAAAGGTGGCAGAAGAAGCTTGGGGCTCCAAGGCCTTGGATCTGAGGCCTGGCCTGCCGCTCGCTCACTTGCCGGTGATTGTGTAGTTCGCTGAGACAGAATGGCGACTAAAAGGTTGGGTAGAAAACGGCAGGCAGCCGGGAGGGAGACCAGAGGGGTCTACTAGTGAAGGGCTGCCAGTTCCCTGGGGAAGTCAAGGCGTGGCAGCCCTGTCCTCCCCCACTGAGGTGACCTGAGGTCCCAATACCCTCAGGCGAATGTTCCCCACGTTCCAAGTGAAGCTGTTCGGCATGGACCCCATGGCTGACTACATGCTGCTCATGGACTTCGTGCCGGTGGATGACAAGCGCTACCGGTGAGCAGCCCCTTTCAGCCACTTGGATTATGTGTACTTGGGACCTGGGAAGGTACTCTAGGAAGCACTAGATCTGCAGGTGACTGACTCCAAGTGTCATCTATAGCATGAAGTTCTCAGGTGCCTTTGCTGACTTGCCCCTTTTATCTCGATCTGCATCCTCCCCTTCCCAGTGAACCCCAGAACTCCACCACATCCCTTCTCCAAAGCCTGCCTTGGGAAGTCACAGCTTTAGGCCCAAAGCAACTCTGACACCCTTAAGGTGGGTGGGGGGCCCAGAGTGGCCTGAAGTGGGTGGGCCAAGCACACGGTCCTTGGTTTCCTCCTGTCTCCCTCTCCCAAGAGGCAAGCCTGTGTGCTTAGTCCCCTTCCCCCATCTCCAGGGAACCCTCAGTCCCAGAGCTTGGCCGGAAAGGTGGGGTGGCCAGGAGAGATTATGCAGGGCGGGCCTTGGCTGCTAGGACAATTAACAGCAATTAATAAAAGTGAATGAGCACTGCCCCGTGCCTGACGCCATCTGGTCAGCCATGTTGTATTGAGGTGGGCAGACCCGTATGCATCGAAATGAGGAGAGGAGGGGAGCAAGGCCCCCTCTTTTGGTGTTCCAGTAGAGCTTGGTTCCCAGCTTGTTTGGGGTAAGGGGGCTGGTGTAGATTTCCTGTTTTCCACAATCATATTATTAAAAGCTTGCAGTCCCTATGACTTTGGAGGGTTTGAGCTCCCTGGTGAGGAAACTCTTTATTCACTTTTGGGGTTCACTGTGCATATTAGGCAGCGCCCTTCTAGTTTACCTCAATGTAGCATAACCCCACCCCCCACCCCATAGGTATGCCTTTCACAGCTCCTCTTGGCTGGTGGCAGGCAAGGCAGACCCTGCCACTCCTGGCCGCGTGCACTACCATCCTGACTCGCCAGCCAAGGGTGCACAGTGGATGAAGCAAATCGTGTCCTTCGACAAACTCAAGCTGACCAACAACCTGTTGGACGACAATGGCCATGTGAGCAACCCCTTCTCAACTTCAGGAAAGTCCCTCCTGCAAGCCCTCTGGAGTCCTCACGAGCCAGAGCCAGAGCTAGACTGGCAGTGGGACAGGCCTCCAGGAAGGGACTTGTAGACCAGGGACCAGGGAGGGACACTTAGCTCTCACCCCACTCCTAAGTTTATGTTGGAGACTTTTTTAATTGGAAAAGATGGAGGACTATGTGTGAGGCTGGAAGGAAGCTCATAGAATCGAGGCCAGTGAGGCTGCCTTCTGGCTGGACTGACCTCTTCCCCTTGAAGGCCCCCTTGGCAAATGTTCAGGATCTAAGAAAATCTACATTGATTGTTTGCCACTTGGAATTTTTTTTTCCTGGACACCCCAAATGGGTCACACAGCCCGGCCTAGTTTAAGTAACCAAGGGTTTTGCCCAATCACCCGAGGAAATCCATCCCCCCCCCCCCAATTCCTCTGCCTGTGTCCCTTCTCCACCTGGGATCTGCCATCCAGCCTCACTACTGGAGCTGATCCCCACCCTGTCTTCCAGATTATTCTCAACTCCATGCACAGATACCAGCCCCGCTTCCATGTCGTCTATGTGGACCCTCGAAAAGATAGCGAGAAATATGCAGAAGAGAACTTCAAAACGTTTGTATTCGAGGAGACACGATTCACCGCTGTCACTGCCTACCAGAACCACCGGGTGAGAGCCTGCCTGGAGGTCTCCAGGAGGATTGGTTACATTCAACATTTTGGGAAATGGTGCAACATTTACTGGCCGCCACAGCAGGGATGGCAGGCTGTGGATCCTGGTAGAGCACAATCCAACTGCCCTCCCTCCTCTCCCCTCCAGACCTTAAGCTGCCCCCCTCCCTCTGAGCAGGCTGCCCCAGCCTCCTATCAGTTTGACCTCTGTGCGGGGACTGTCACTGCAGCCTGAAAGTTTGTTTTCCAAACCATTCCGGAAACTTCCCATCTGGGGCCTGATCTGAGGTTTACCCAGATTCCTAGGGCTCCGCACAGTTTCCCCCACTGAGCTGTGGGGGGCGGAAGGGACCACATTCCCATCCCAGTCAGGGGCACGAGGTCCTTACCCCCATTTATTTGGGGTGGCAAAGAGAGGCTCTTCTAGTGAGAGAAGGCTCCCTGACCCCCTACTGAAAGAAGGAAACACAGTGTCCGTGGGGCAGGGAACAGCTGGGGCCCGATTCTGGTCTTGGCAGCGCAAAGAGGTGCGCCCTGGCCGGGTGTCTCTTGACACTCCCCGGCTGGCCACCGCCAGGTCGGGTGGCCGCGGGCTGCAGGGTCCCAGCTTCTTTCTCACGCTCCTTCCCCTGCAGATCACGCAGCTCAAAATTGCCAGCAACCCCTTCGCCAAAGGCTTCAGGGACTGCGATCCTGAGGACTGGTGAGTGACCTCTGGAGAGCGCGAGTGCCCAGCCGGGCGCCCGTTGAGGACATCGTCCTAATCTACCTCCCCTCCCGTAGGCCCCGGAACCACCGGCCCGGCGCGCTGCCGCTAATGAGTGCCTTTGCGCGCTCGCGGAACCCCGTGGCCTCTCCCACGCAGCCCAACGGCGGGGAGAAAGGTAGGATCTTGGTCCTGGGATCCAGACCAGTATCCCCGCGCGAGCGCGCGCGCGCGCACGCTCCCGTCCTGGGCCGACGGCCGCGCCCGGCCTCGCCTGCACCCCCGGGGCGCTCGCAGCCTTCGCGCCGGTTGCACAACGACCTGGCGGCGGGCAAGCGCGCACTCGCCCGCCCGACGGCTGCACCCCGCCTGTGCGCCCCGCCCGCCGCTGCCGCCGGCGGAGGGGCGCGGGTCCCCGGGACGGGCTCGGGGCTCCGGCGGTGAGGGGCTCAGCAGGCTCGCCAAGTAGTGGCGGCGGGACCCCTGAACGCGGCCTCGCGCCTCCTAGCTAGAGTCCTTCTTCGAGGGATCTCGGCGGTGCAGGCGGACCGCGCTCACTCCCCGGCTCTCCCCCGCAGACGCGGCGGAAGCCCGGCGAGAATTCGAACGCGAGGCGGGAGGGCCGGCCATGCTGAGCGACCCCGCGCATCCGCCGCAGCTGCTAGCGCGAGTGCTGAGCCCCGCGCTGCCTGGGGCAGGCGGCGCCGGTGGGCTCGTTCCGCTGCCCAGCGCATCCGGAGGCCGGCCCAGTCCCCCGCACCCCGAGCTGCGCCTGGAGGCGCCCGGAGCCTCGGAGCCCCTGCATCATCACCCCTACAAGTACCCGGCCGCCGCCGCCTACGACCACTACCTCGGGGCCAAGAGCCGGCCGGCGCCCTACCCGTTGCCCGGCCTGCGGGGCCACGGCTACCACCCCCACGCGCACGCGCACCCGCACCATCACCACCCCGCCGTGAGCCCGGCTGCGGCCGCCGCCGCCGCCGCTGCCGCCGCCGCCGCCGCCGCCAACATGTACTCGTCGGCCGGGGCCGCGCCGCCCGGCTCCTACGACTACTGCCCCAGATAACGCGCGCCGCCGCCGCCGCGCTCGCCGCCCGGGCCCCCGGCGCCCCGCGCAGCCCCGAGGGCCGGCGGGGCCCCCGTCCACCCGGCCCCAAGGGCCATCAGAAGACTCCTGCTCCCAACCCCGGGGGCCACCGCGGGTCTCCCCTTCCCCAGCCTCGAAGCCATTGGGGTCCCACCAGCCCCCCAGGACTACGGCAAGTCTCCGGGGTCCCCCTGTCCCCATAGTTCCCGCGGGTTCCTCCCCAGCCCCGAGGACCCACGGGGCCCACCCGCCAGTGCCAAAGCGCCCGATCCGAGGCGGAAGGAAGTGCTAGTATTTATTGTTCTCCCCGAGACCGCGTCGCCTCCGGCCCGGCCGGCATCGCAGCGTAGACGACCCGAGAGAGCCCCGCCCGCACGCCGTGTAGATGCGTGTAGATAACGTGTAGATTCTGTAGATACCGCGCCGGCGCCGACTGGATAAACGGTTTCGCCTCTTTTCCAAGCTGCCTGTGCGTCCTTTTATTTGCGCCCACCTTAGTTCGGGCCGGCAATCTCCGAGAGCGGGAGTCACCGGACACTTGCCAATTTCGGAGTCTCCATCTCCCCAGCCCCGACGAGGCCCTGGGAGGCTGGGAGGCAGGGGGCGGGGGGTGGGGTGCAGGGGGGAGGCGCGGGGTCCCTGCAGGGCTCGCCCCACCTCCTCCCCATTCTTCTGCCACCTCGTCTGGGCTCTCTCCTGCCAATCATTCACACCCTCCCTCCCCCAGGACTGGCAGTTATCAGTCCCACCTTTTAAATTCTGCACACCTGCGGTTGTCTCCATTCTAGGACTTGGATTCCCCAGCCCTGACTTCTTTCCCAGACCTATGCTTTATTATGCAAACTGAATAATCGTCACAACAGCCTGGGAGGAAAGAAACCTTTGACCCGGATAGGATTGTGGAAAGACAAAAGCAGGCAACTGTCCTGTTCCCCTGGCCTGGCCCCAACCCAGGCCTCCTTTTCCCCCTGTTTATTGACTTTGTTCGCTGTGACTGCCCCCACAAAGTGACCTGGACAGGGGGGATGCACAATGACAGTGGTCATGAGTCATCTCAAAACCCGTCTGTGAAGCATTTTTTTCCCAGGCCAGGTGGCTGAGGGACCTCTCCCCATGAACTCAACACCAGGGATGGGCCCTAGGAGCCCTTTGATCCCTCCCTTCCTGAATCCAAGCAGGAAAAGCTGACCACCAGTCAACATCAAGGCCAACTTGGACGTGATGAACAGGAAATGCATGTGGCCAGGTTCTGTCCAGACTCTCTCTGTCCCAGGGTGTTTGTGGCAATCCTGCTTCCCAGGCCACCTGGCTCATCACTTCCTATGTGGCAGTAGCATCCTGAGTGCCGCCTCTCTAAGGGATAGACAGGCATTTCCAGAAGTTGACCCTGGACCAAACCCATCCTGATTGTATTTTCTCTCTTGCTCTGAAGTTACTGAGGGTTTACTAATTGGAAAGCAGGACCTATTTTCACGAAGCTGGTCTAGGAGGGGAAGGGATAACTAGGCCCACCCAAAGCCTCAAGGGACACCTAGTATCTAGCACTCCATTGCATCTGCCCAAGTGGCCAGCAAGCTCCCTGGACACATCCTATGGACAGTAATATCCATTCATGATCCTGGATCCCACCCTGCCCTCAGCTTTAGCTCTCCTTATGCCTGTGATAATGGCTTCTGTTTGGGATAGCCAGTTACCCATTTGCAGCCTCCCCTTGTGTAGAAGGCCAGCAACACCAGGCCTATAAAGACTGACAGGCTGGAGTTTGTCCTGCAGAGGGCGCTGGGCAGTGTCAGGCCTCCCCCTCTCTCCAGTGGAATGCAGCCATTCCACACCCTTTCAACCGGCCGAGGATCCCTGGGGACATCAGTGGGGAAGAGCTGTCATTAGAGAGACCTCTGCTTTAGCTTTGTTCAAAGCTGAAGCCGTGAGCTGTCCCTTGAATGAATAACAGTGCCCAGTGTTATGAGTAGGGGCAGAACATACCACGAAGAGTAGAGACTTGGAGTGCACAGCTTACAGGTCTTGTGTGGATGTCCCTGAGCACTCTGAGATGGCCAATCAAGATGGGGAACTGCCCTGCTGTTCAACTGGGCCACTACAGTCAGGTCCCTCCCCAGCTCAATTCCAAGTACTGGATAGCTAAGTACTGAAGATCACCATCCTGGAAGAGACAAACTCACCTGCCCTACACTGGGATAACAGCTCCCAAAGGCATATAGCTTGTTTTCCCTTGCACCACCCACTCCTGGTAGGTTTGGATTTTTAAATGAGAACAACCCTGGCAGTCAGCTTCAGAAGACCTGCTCACATCCCTCCTTCTCTTCTTTCCTTCTTACTCCCTCCCCCCTCTCTCTTTCTTTCTTCTCCCTTCCTTCATTCCTTCCTTTCATGCTGGTATGGGGGGGAGGAGAGGAAAGAGGCTTGAATTCAGGTCCTGAGCACTGTCCTTCAGCTTTTTTGCTCAAGGCTGGCACTCCACTACTTGAACCACAACTCCATTTCTGGTTTTTATTGTTGTTGTTTTTTGTTGGTTAATTGGCTATAAGAGTTTCACATATTTTCCTACCTAGGCTGGCTTCAAATCTCGATCCTGAGATCTCAGCCTCCTGAGTAAGATTACCTGAGCCATCAGCACTAGGTTCCTCCATTTCTTAAACAAGAGCCTACTGAGCACTTCCCAGCTACTACCCTGGCTGCTGTTTGCACAGAGCTGGTATCATGTGGGCAGCTACCTCTGGACAGCCCTGTGTTGCCCTAGGAAATGGTTTTCTAGCAGTTTTCTCTCTGTGATTACCTATGTTAGTGTATCTGTCACTACCAAATGTAATTATTGGAAGTTACCCCCAAGGTGATGGCATTAGTAAGACCTTTCCCTCTCCCCGCTCCCTCTTCCTGGGGCTTGTACTCAGGGCACTGTCTCTGAGCCTCTCTGTGCACAAGGCTAGCACTCTACTACTTGAGCCACAGCACCACTTCTGGCTTATTCTGTGTATGTGGTATTGAGGAATCAAACCCAGGACTTCATGCATGCTAGGCAAACATTACCACTAAGCCATATTCCTAGCCCCCTTTTAAAAATTCTAATTATACAGGTGATATACAGTTACATAAGTCAGGTAAAGAGTACATTTCTTTTTGGACAATGTCACCCCTTCCCTTGTTCTGTTTTTCCCTCCCATCCCTACCCACAAGTTGTATAGTTCATTTTCAACGTATTGTACAGTGAGTACCACTGCTGCATTTGTTCACCCTTGGTCCCTCCATTTCTGGGCCCTCTCTTACCCTCCCAAAGACAGCTAAACCAACAAAGAATACAGAAAGAAAAGAAAACAAAAACAATAAAGAATAAAAACTTCCATTTCCTAAAGTTCATTTCAGTTAATATTATTTTAGATGATCAGATGTACGAAGGAAGTGATACCTTTGAGAAATGCTTTGATCATGGGGTACAGTCCTTAGGAGCAGGATTAGGCCTCTATAAAAGAGGTCTACAGCTGGGTGCCAGTGATGTACCCCTGTAATCCTAGCTATTCAAGAGGCTGAGATTGTAGGATCACGGTTCAAAGCCAGCTCAGGCAGGAAAGTCTGTGAGACTCTGATCTCCAATTAACCACCAGAAAACTGGAAGTGGCTCTGTGGTTCAAGTGGTAGAGCACTCGCCTTGAAGAGCTGAGGGACAGTGCCCAGGCCCATAGTTCAAGCCCCCAGGACCAACCAGAGGGGCAGGGGGTGGGGAGAGTTCAGGGACAGTGCCAAGAAGCTGACGTCCAGAGGATTGTGGTGTTTTGTTTGTTCTGTGCTAGTGTTAGGGCTTGAATTTAGGATTCTCTTGCACTATTGCTGCTTGGCTTTGATGTGCAAAGCTGGCACTCTACCACATGAGTTAAACCTCCACTTCCAGCTTTTGCTGGTTAGTTAGAAATAAAAATCTTAGCCAGGCATCGGTGGCTTATGCCTATACCTAGCTACTCAGGAGGCTGAGATCTGAGGATAGCAGTTCAAAGCCAGCCTGGGCAGGAAACTCCGTGAGACTCATCTCCAGTAAACCACCAGAAAACTGGAAGTGGCTCCGTGGCTCAAGTGGTAGCATGCTCAACTTGAGCTGAAAAGCTGAGGGACAGTGCCCAGGGCCCAGAGTTCAAGCCCCATAAAAAAAAGAAAGAAAAAGAAAAATCTTATGAACTGGGCTGGCTTCAAACCTCAATCTTCAGAGCTCAGTCTCCTGAGTAGCTAGTATTACAGGGGTGAGCCACCAGTGCTGGATTGTAGTTAGAAGCCAACTCAGGAAGAGAAGCATATGAGACTCCATTTCCAAAGTAACCAACAAAAAGCCAGTCAGGAGGCATAGCTCAAATGGTAGAATGCCAGCTGAGCAAGGGCTAGGCCCTGAGTTCAAACCCTGATACCACCAAAGAGGCCCCAGAGGAGCCCTCTGGCCCCTTTTACCATGTGAAGGCAGAGAATGTGACCTGCATCCTGCATCTCAGTGGTTCAACCATGCTGTCCCACTGATCTTGGACTCCAGCCTCCAGAACTGAGGGAGTTGCCATAGTTTGCAAGCTACCTGGTTTATGGCAATTTGTTACAGCAGCACAAAGGGACTAAGACTGTTTTTTTGCCATTGCTTCCGTTTCTTTCGTTAGCTCTTTGCCCTTCCATGAGTATTGCACTGCCTTCCTCCACTGTCTCCTTACTCAATCACACCCCAGCTATTGGTCCCAGAATCTTCCTGGGGAGTCACCAGTGGTCCAGAGACTATGTTCTCTGCTCCCCTAACTTGTTTCCAGGTATATAGTTTTCAGGACTTAGAATAAAAGCTCAGACCAGAAGGCTCCTCAGAGACTATAATCTCTGGTTTTGTGCCAGTCCTGGGACTTGAACTCAGAGCCTGGGCATCGTTTCTTAGATTTTTTGCTTAAGGATAGCTCTCTACCACTTGAGCCCCAGGTTCACTTCCAGCTTTTTTTTTTTTTTTGCCA